TTTTATTTTTCTAATAGGCAAGATCCAGTGTAGGCGAGAAGGGCTCCGTCGTGCTAGATTTAAAAAAAAAAGTTTTTGTGACAGAAATGTATTTCTCGATTGAAAATGGTTGAGAAACTGCGCTAAAACATGCTCTGATACTCCATCGAAGTTCAACAAAGTATACACGAACATGTCAAGGGTATAGGCGTGGTTGAAATTGGTTCCATTCATTTCGAAAGTGATGCTGATGCAATACTTTTGACGCTGTGTCTTGAATACGAGTGAATTCCATTTCATTCAAGGCAGAAAATTTTCACGTCTTCCGTGCACTAAATGTCAGATAATCTCTTGATAGCGTTCGTTAAATTTAATTTGAACTAAGTGAATTTTATTTTGAATTATGCGTTTAAATCTCACTACAATCAGAGCTCATGCGGCTGGAAATGGAATTTTCGCGGATTTGAAAAGACTAGAAACATTTTCAACACGTGAGACTTTTAATGTTTCGTCGCAAGTGACGACAAAGAGGAGGTGCATATTTCAGCGCAATGAATAAGCAAATAAATGCAGCGCCTAATTTGCCACGTAAACGAAAACGGGGACACGGAAACGAGGTCATTTTTCGGAAGAAATCGGATCGGGCTGACCTCGTTTCCTGCTGGTCTTCTTGGGCGGGCTGAAACTTCGTGCTTCTTCCGGGGTTCCGAAGCACTCATCAACGCTTTAAAAATTGTTGCGTTGATTCTTCTCCCCTTCAGTGAAGGAACCAATCTTTTCCGAACTTAACTGAAGAAATGATGGAAGAAGGTTTTGAAAAAGTTCGACTTTTTTGAATCTTCAGAAAAATCCTGCCCTTGAAATTTAAATTTTCATTCGGAAAAAAATGAAGACATACGGTAATTGTACTGGCTTGAGCGCCTCGTCACTTTCATCCGAATTTCCTTCCGTTGTTTGTGAAATTGCGCCTGGATTTCAGCAGAAGACAGTTAATACGATTAGGTTGTGTGTATTATGTAACGTAAAAGGTAGATAATTCTGAATTCATGACTTTCAAACAAATTTCTTCATCTTCTGCCTCGTTCAATCATGAGCCTTAGCTCAATTCAATAACTCTCATGCTTTCCTCAGCGCGAAAGGAGCATTTTTATTCGTCGATAAAATAAATTTTTAATTCGGTGATTTGATTGAACTTCTCATTTTACGCCTCGGATGTTTACGATATTAAATATTCAGGAATTTTTTGCACAAACATTTGAAGCCCTTAACCCAATGCAACCTCTCATTGTCTCTAGTGTACGTTATTTTGAAATTCAACCAACATTTCTGAGTTCAAATTTTTGAATACAGAACCCAGAAAATAAACCCGAGTGATTCTTTTTAAAAGAACTAGAGAAGAGCTGTATGAATAACATGAGATAGCCAGCTTTTGCATCACCGTCGCAAAGGTCCATAATATAAAATATAAATTATACTTACTCAGGGACTATAATCACGAACAAATTATGCTGGAAAAACTATAAGAAATGAAGTAATCCGTGTGTGATCGAGCCTTTAGGAATCAGTCGCACAGGTGGGAGGAGAAAATTGCCCCGGGAAATGTTTGCTCGAGCAAACCGTTTTGAAAAGAAAAACACGCAGTTTTGCATTTCTTATCTTTGCAAGCAAGTGATACTTGGCTGTCGGGGGCGAAAACGGAGAAAGAAAACATCAAAACACACACAAAACGGTGAATATCGGGGGTGGATCGCCATTCCGCTCGGAGCAAAGTTGGTTTTTACGGTCCTGTCTGATAATCAGCGCCATTTTCAATTGCCACTGGGCCCACAATTATTGTCGGTTCGAATCCGCTATTGTTATCTGACGGGGAACATCTATAGGAAAAGTCAATTTCTGGCCGCATGCGGGGTCTCGGTGCCAGTCCGACACGCCCCGAGATTGTTGAGCAACGCTCGGAGGCAAAACAAAATAACGTCGTAATGCCGAGATTTTTTCCCGTTCGTCTTCTCGGAGGCCTTCATCATCCACGACACACCCAAAATTTTACGTCCGAGATTTATGAGAATTCGCACGTTTTCACCGACGCCCTGTTTTTAGGTTTCCCGGGAGAAGGTTTCGGGCTCTCTCGCCGGGTCCTGACGCAATCCGCGTGGATTGACCGAGTGAGTTGGGAAATTTCTCCATCGAGATTGGGCCCACGCCTGATCGGAAAACCTGATCCCGGGCGATGGGATCCTGTAAAAAATCGATTAAAGCTTTATCTCTTCATATCTCGCGGGGACGCGCTACTGAAGAACTTGCTCTGCTTCTGCGCAACCCAATTTCCCCCGTGTATGGAATCTGCTCTGAATGCCTTTTCCTTTTCATTCTCAAGTCCAGAAATTGCCGCGTGAAATTGCATTTCTTGAGAAAAACAGTCGTCTGAACTCAAATACTGAAAAAAAATTCTATTGTCAATTTTGTGAAAATCTCTTGGGAATCCATACGTAAATCACTTGACTTGAGAAATTATCGTAAAGACTATGTTGAGCTGGAAAATTCCATAGAAAACAATTGCACTGATGTAAGTCAATATACGAGTATGTGGCCCATTTCTACAACGATCTTGTCCACAACAAAATTCTCTCTACAACGCAATTCAAGGGACGGGAAAAATTCTCTCTACAACGAATCTTCCCGTTCCTTGAATTGCGTTGTAGAGAGAGTCTACCTGTATCACGCAGAACTTAATACAGTATGCAAATAAATGGTAGCAATTTTTTTGAAGGAAAAATCAAGCGAAATAGCTGAGTGAACTAAGATTAATCATTCGAGAAATTGATGTAATTCACCTTTAGATAAATTTCGAAGAAAACGAGGCGGGGAACGGATGATAGTGCCTGAGCTAAGATTTTTTTTTCATGTGTCAATTGTCAAGTTGGAACCTGCTTCGAGTGGAGTATCCCTACAAAGGGCAATAAAAAAAATTATCCGAAGAGTTTACACATGTTTTTAGTGAAATATTAAAGCGAAGTGACGTTAAGTGCAGAGATCGTGTTTGTATTCAAAACTTTACCAGGGGTTGTTTTCAGCTGTCGGAAATTTTTTCAATCGATCTCTTGAGTGTTTTCAATGAAATTTTTTGGATCGTCAATTAGCGCTGTAAATTGTACTTCAATGACTGCAATTCATCGTCCTAAATTCAATTTTAATGTCTCATTGATTGTAAATTAAATACCAAAATTGTAAACGAAGGAAATGCATCAAGTGCTTAAAGTATTTTTTCAATGTGCGTCATGCTATTGTAATACTTGTTCATACACTGTAGTCGCAAATTCAAAATGCGATCTCATATTCGAAAAAGTCCGGTGATCTTGACTGATGCTATTGAGGGGTTATTCCACCATCCCGACTAACAACCTTCGTCCGCTTTCTCCGAAAATTGGCGTCACGCAGAGCAGATTAACGTTCTTGCTGGTGAGTTTTTGGCGCGACGGGGGAAAGAGGGTAACTTTGAAATTCTGTACCCAGTCCTCGCAGGTGAGACAAAAATGTCGTTGAAGGGAATGCGCGTGGGGTCGCGTGAAATGCGATTGAAATCGCTCTCAAGTCTCCGAGGACGAGCGTAGGGAGCAATAAGAAGACCTTGTATCGTCCCCGGCGAGTAACGTGTTGACGCGATTCCGCGCGGGTGCGTCAAGATCCGTTGGAAAATCTCGCCTACCTTTTTGCACTGCCGGGTTGTTTGTGAATTTGCACAATGTTCCGAGGGTTTCCAGGTCCTTTTTTTTTTCCTTCTTCATCTTCTTTGCTTTCGTTCCGCGTGTTCCCCTGCTGAGGCCTCGCAACCCTCGGCTCGATTTTGCACACCTTCTTTATCAGCATTACCAACGGAATTCCTTGGCATTCTTCTTATCCGCCATTTCAGCTCCATCCCTAATTGTTTCCCGTACGAGCTGCGTCCGCGATGCGAGCTAATGCAAAAACTCGGGTACCTGCAACCCACTGAATATGCAACACGGGAATCGGAATTCGGCTTCTTTTCAAGTCTCGAAAACGGTTGAAAATGTTATAGTTCTCGAGTCCGATTTGATATGATTGTAAGAATTGGGCAACCTTTGTGAACATACATCAAGAATACCATCGCGATTTCGCAGTACCATGCTTTGAGAATGTCACGAAAAAATGGACAAGGAAATATTTCTCGCTTCAAAGTTGTTCGTTCCTGTGGAGTAAATTTCTAAAAAAAAAATAACTGAGTTTAGTCCTACTATCTCCTGGAAATAATGCGTATTTATCAGAACACGTATTCTTTTCCGAAACTTTTTGAGAAAAATAAGTGATTTCCGAGTTTGGAAAAATGAGGCATTCGACAAACATGTATCGTGGCTTGTGAAAAAATGCAGGAAAAGACTTTAAATCACCGTATTGAAAAACACTAATCCTCCTTCGGGTTGACGTTCTGAAAAAAAATTGAACGCGACTTTCTCATTTCTCGATTTTATGGTATGCTCCAGCGTAGTATGCTTTTCTATTTTCCCAAAAAATGAGTACTACCTGTATTTGTAGTTTTGAACAGTGAGAATTTCATAATTATGAAATCATCGTGCGCAATTCCGGATAATCCGGATCGTACTCGGAATATTGGACATGTCCACGCAAGAGCAATGCAAGAAATTTAACGATTCTGAAATGTTTTTCATTTGAAATCGCGTCGGCCATGCCTCGTTTTTCCACGGCTTTTCTGCGTGACACGTGGTGCACAGAAAAATTCTGAAAAGAATGATGGTTTCTGAATGGTAACAAAGCGATTTCGCTATACTGTATTGAAAAAAAAATATATACTTCCGACTGAGACACGACATGCGGCGACCGTTCGAACAAACGGAAAGTCAAGAGTCCGCATGACATTCGGAAGCGCGAATCCGTTCCGGATATGCATTTTAGTGTTTTTTTTTTTTGCCACCCGCCGAGTTCCTGTGTTGACGAATGACGTGTCATTAATCATTCGGCCCGCAGTATGCATCGGAACGAACGGAAGGATGTCGGTGGGGTCCAACAGAGAGCACCACTACCAAAACCTCCGGGATCGCTACACCAATTGTACCTTCGTCGACGGGAACCTGGAGATCACTTGGCTCAACGACGAAAACATGGATCTGAGCTTCCTGGAAAACATCCGGGAAGTCACCGGCTACGTCCTGATTTCCCACGTCAACGTCCGGAACGTCATCTTGCCTCGTCTGCAAATCATCCGCGGACGCACGCTTTTCAAGCTTCCGGTCCATGGAGAATTTGCACTCGCCGTCACTCTCAGCAAGATGGACACCTTGCAAATGCCTGCCTTAAGAGGTGAGATTTCGCATCCCCCCCCCCCCCCCCCCCCCCCCCCCC